TTTGAGAGTTTATTACGTTTCCTCTCCCTGTTCCTGTCAGTGTGGTAGATCTGCTGAGACTCTGCTCCTGTGGCTCCTCCCACAGTGTCTGATTAGCAGCTGTAACCACAGTGACTCTGATCAAACAGGAATTAGCAGAATCCATCTGATATGAAGCTGAGCTTTGAATACCACTTCCCTCCTCTTTGAAGAGGAGTCAGATATCCGTGTTCAGCTTTTTGTACAGCCTCTTCTACACTTTGTATCACTGTGTTTGCAGAGCACAGTAGTAGAGAAGAGAGCTGTGTCTGCCAGGGTTAGCTCTCTGATGGTCAGCTCAGAGGTGGTCATGATAAAGATGATGTTGTTAAATGGCAGTCTAAATGTGCCTCAGCATCTACAAAGTTGCTGCACACTGAACATCAGCAGCTTTCTGGTCTAATGTCCACCTGGACTCTCTGCTGCAGCTGTCCATGGTGCTGAACAGTCAGTTTGGTCCATTATAAGCAGAATTAATAAATATTCAAAGAAAACTGCAGAAAACTATTCCCAGTTAAGTATGATTCTGTTATTGTCTTTTAATTACTTTGATGTAAAAAAAAAAACATTTTTCGTATTCATTTAATATAATTCTGTGCAGACAATATATACCTGAATGCATCATTCAGTGTACCTATATGCATCATGAGGTTTTAGCCTGTGGAGATAAATCTCTAAGTAGAAGATTTGAGGTCTGATAGCTCGACAGAACTAGACGGACACATCTTGATGATAGAACAGCACTCTGTCCATGGTGCTGATGTCCTGCAGAGGCTGCACCTCCATCCTGGAGCCTCCATCATCCCTCCTTTATGATCCAAACCTTCTCATCAGAAAGAGTTCAATGATGCAGCAAACACTCTGATGTCTGCTTTATTCTCAGCTGCACAAACAATCAGACTGAATCCTAACAAACCATAGAGGAGGAACAGTGTGTGAGGCCCTCTAGTGGATGTTGTGGAGTATTGCAGGTTCTTGTACAGAGTTCTGGTGTTTCCTGTCACTGTGGGCCTCACAGCACAGTAGTACACAGCAGAGTCAGTCACTGCAGCAGAGGAGATCAGCAGGTCCATCTGGGTTTTATCATCATTGACTCTGAATGAGAAACCAGGAACTGGATCCTGGAGTTTATCTCCTGTTCCTGAATGAGAGACCAGGTACTCTGGAGGTTTTCCAGGATTTTGTCGATACCAGAAAATATAATCACCATAAGCAGCACTCTGAGAGTAAGTGCAGGACAGAGTCACAGAGTTTTCCTCTAAAGATGACTCCTCAGACTTTGTTGCAGTGAGATGTTGACAGTTTATACCTGATGGGAGAAAAACTGAATTAACCAAACATGAAAAAACTAAATACACATTATCATTTCTTAATGAGTCCAACTAACCTGTTCCTATAAGCAGAACCAGCAGAGTAAATCCAGATGTGAGCAAAGACAGCATGATGATCAGAGTTAATGTTTGAACTGTGTTGAATGTGGAAGTTTGTGTCTCTTCTATAGTTCAGTAACAGCTCAGCTCCTCCCTGAAGCTCTCAGCTCTTCTTCCTCCTGATTAACAGACTAAAATGCTCTTCTTTTTGGCCTTACGTTTGTTTTTTTATGTTTTAATGAGGCTGTGTCTTTACAGTATATTAAAACCTGCCTTAAACTTTATTAATATTTCACTGTTTTGTCTCTTGCTTTAAACTATGATTTAGATTAAATGTTAGATATTTAATACACATTTCTACTTCAAATTCACTCATCATGTGTACTTTGTTAGATCTAAAGTCAGTTCTAAAATCATTGCAGTGTTGTCAAAATCCACAACATCATGCATTTTTAAATTAGGAAAGACATTTTCCCCCTCCAGTGATTCTAATTTCTATTATTTATTTTTCGGGGTTATTATTAGTAGGGAATATAATAACTGAGTTTATACCTCAGTTGCTGCTCATTGTGTAAAAGCAATACCAAATATGGAATATGTTTTATACCAGATGTCAGCATCAAGGGTCTAAGGTCTGGTCACCTGACTTAACTCACCTGTAAACTAATGTTATTAGAACAGGAAACTTTACAATGAAGCGAGCTGAACATAGCTGGATTACTCCCAGCACATCCAGTTTAACCAATCCACATCAATGACAGGATCAGCGGTACCACCAAGCTGGTTATTAACTAGCTAACTCAACCCAGCTTTGACTGCAGCTTTTAGATGCATCCCTGTTCCATCACAGCTGAATAAAATGACTGAATTAACTTTTCAGAATGCCATCAAGTTTGGTAAAGACCTGGTAACAAACCATTCATTTAGTTAAGCTGTGTTCGAGCAGGTATGCATCTAAAACATGCAGGACAGTAGATCTTTAGGACCAGAGTTGGAGACCACTGGTGTAGAAGATCAGTGGTCTGACAGCAGGACAGAACTGGACTGAAACACATCTAGATGGTGGAACAGAACTCTGTCCATGGTGCTGATGTCCTGCAGAGGCTGCACTTAGAACCTGGAGCCTCCATCATCCCTCCTTTATGATCCAAACCTTCTCATCATAAAGAGTTCAATGATGCAGCAAACACTCTGATGTCTGCTTTATTCTCAGCTGCACAAACAATCAGACTGAATCCTAACAAACCATAGAGGAGGAACAGTGTGTGAGGCCCTCTAGTGGATGTTGTGGAGTATTGCAGGTTCTTGTACAGAGTTCTGGTGTTTCCTGTCACTGTGGGCCTCACAGCACAGTAGTACACAGCAGAGTCAGTCAGCTCAGCAGAGGAGATCAGCAGGTCCATCTGGGTTTTATCATCATTGACTCTGAATGAGAAACCAGGAACTGGATCCTGGAGTTTATCTCCTGTTCCTGAATGAGAGACCAGGTACTGGGGAGGTTTTCCAGGATGTTGTCGATAGCAGAAAATATAATCAGCATAAGCAGCACTCTGAGAGTAAGTGCAGGACAGAGTAACAGAGTTTTCCTCTAAAGATGACTCCTCAGACTTTGTTGCAGTGAGATGTTGACAGTTTATACCTGATGGGAGAAAAACTGAATTAACCAAACATTAAAAAACAAAATACACATTATTCTTTCTTAATGAGTCCAACTAACCTGTTCCTATAAGCAGAACCAGCAGAGTAAATCCAGATGTGAGCAAAGACAGCATGATGATCAGAGTTAATGTTTGAACTGTGTTGAATGTGGAAGTTTGTGTCTCTTCTATAGTTCAGTAACAGCTCAGCTCCTCCCTGAAGCTCTCAGCTCCTCTTCCTCCTGCTCAACAGACTCACAGCTTCTTTTGATTTCGGCCACAAGATTCTTTTTTTTTAATTTATTTTTATGTATTTATTTTTTTGTATACTAGACCCCCGTAGATCTGAGTGAAGCTTGTTTGAGGCAGGTGGTTTTCTCCGAGGCTCTAGCCCTGGACAATCACCTTTTTATTATTAGATTAAAACCAGATTAGATTAATCACTTAATCACATAATTCACTATATTTTCTCTCCTGCTTTAAACTATGATTTGGATCAACTGGATGATATTTAATAAAGATTTATACTTCAAAGTCACTCATCAGGTATTGATTGATTGACTTTATTGATCTCACAGTGGAGAAATATGCTTGTTACCTCAGCTCAAACAGTCAAAACAGAGAAGAAGAATGTCCCAAAGGAAGAAAAAGGTGCATTGGATATATACAGTGTGTCCACATATGAGAGCTTTTTTTTTTATTGCAGAATTATTATACAGGGTTACTGTGCAGGGTGATTACATGGCTATTTATATAGATGGGTATTTATAGTTATTGCACTGGGTGTCAAATATACAGAAACGGGTTACTGCAGAGGGTAATAATTTCTAATTGCCCATTATACATGGCACAAGTTACTGCTGTTGTAGGGTTGCATTGTAGAGTCGCAGCAGGGATGAACGGTAGCGCTCCTTTTTCCAAACAGGTTGTAAAAGTCCTTGACTGAAGGAGCTGCTCAGCTCCTCTCCAGTCTGCTGCAGAGGGTGGGAGGTGTTGTCCATGATGGATTGAAGCTTGGAGAGCACCCTCCTCTCAGCCACTTCCTCCAATGAGTCCAGGGTGCAGCCTAGGACAGAAACGGCCTTTCTCACCAGTTTGTTCAGTCTCTTTTTTTCCCGCTCTGCAGCTAGGGGCCCAGCAGACGACAGTGTAGAGTAGGGCTGATGCCACCATAGAGTCATAGAAGGTTTCAAGCAGGGGCCTGCTCACTCCAAAGGACCTCTGCCTCCTCAGGAGGTGGATGCAGCTCTGGCCCTTCTTGTACAGAGTGTCAGTGTTATGAGTCCAGTCTAGTTTATTATTGAAGTGAACTGACATTACATCTAATGTCATTTATAAAATCTTGCTTATGAATCATTGCAGTGTTGTCAAAATCCACAACATCATGAATTTTCAAATTAGGAAAGATATTTTTGCCCTGAACTGATTCTAATTTCTATTATTCATTGTTTTATTTATAGGAATTATAGTAACTGATTTAGTACTTTAGTTACTGCTCATTGTGTAAAAGCATAACCAAATATGGAATGTGTTTTTTATCAGGCGTCTACATCAGTAGTAGATTATTCCATATAATTCTGTTTCACTGCTGCTCCCCTGAGGTCTGGTCACCTGACTTAACTCACCTGTAAACTAATGTTATTAGAACAGGAAACTTTACAATGAAGCGAGCTGAACATAGCTGGATTACTCCCAGCACATCCAGTTTAACCAATCCACATCAATGACAGGATCAGCGGTACCACCAAGCTGGTTATAAACTAGCTAACTCAACCCAGCTTTGACTGCAGCTTTTAGATGCATCCCTGTTCCATCACAGCTGAATAAAATGACTGAATTAACTTTTCAGAATGCCATCAAGTTTGTAAAGACCTGGTAACAAACCATTCATTTAGTTAAGCTGTGTTCGAGCAGGTATGCATCTAAAACATGCAGGACAGTAGATCTTGAGGACCAGAGTTGGAGACCACTGGTGTAGAAGATCAGTGGTCTGACAGCAGGACAGAACTGGACTGAAACACATCTAGATGGTGGAACAGAACTCTGTCCATGGTGCTGATGTCCTGCAGAGGCTGCACTTCCATCCTGGAGCCTCCATCATCCCTCCTTTATGATCCAAACCTTCTCATCATAAAGAGTTCAATGATGCAGCAAACACTCTGATGTCTGCTTTATTCTCAGCTGCACAAACAATCAGACTGAATCCTAACAAACCATAGAGGAGGAACAGTGTGTGAGGCCCTCTAGTGGATGTTGTGGAGTATTGCAGGTTCTTGTACAGAGTTCTGGTGTTTCCTGTCACTGTGGGCCTCACAGCACAGTAGTACACAGCAGAGTCTGTCACTGCAGCAGAGGAGATCAGCAGGTCCACTTGTTTCGTCATTTTGTTGATTTTAGCAGAGAAATCAGACCTAACTGGATGAATCTCTCCAGCCTCTGTGATGTAGAGCAGGAACTCTGGTCTGGATCCCTGCTGCTGTCGGTACCACTGGATATTGTAGATAGAACCAGTATATTCACAGCTCAAACTGGTGCTTCTTCCCTCTGAAACAGCTTGTTCCCTCTGTTCCTGTGTGATGGTGTTCATGGAGCCCATGGCTGTAAAAGGAGTCATTAATGTCAGTTAGTCTGCAGGAGATTCAAACATGAAGAGACTCAGCAGAGGTTCTTTACTCTGTGCTCCTCATGTGATCACAATAAGGTTCATAGAGAAAATCAGAGTAAAGCTTTTCTCTGTGCTCTAACACTCACCTATGCAGAGAGAGAAAAGCAGCAAGAAGTAAAGTAACATGTTTTCAGGTAGAGTCAGACAGCAGAGGAACAAAGTTGTTCCACTGCAGCAGAATAAAGACTAAGAAGCTTCTCTGGTGCACAGACCTTCTCCTCAACATCAAGCTGCTTTTAGTGCAGCAAACACAAACCATCTCATTGGCTGAACCCAGCAGTGGGGGGAGGAGTCAGAGAAAAACATTTTACTGTTTCCTTCTTTTTTATTTTTTGCAGAGAACAATGAACTGAATGTTTTTTTCATTCCAAAAAAGTCTTACCTTTTCCCAGTCCTTATCGCTCTTCCTTGTATCTACAGATATTTTCGTCTAACAAATCCCCAATCCTCTTCCAGAAAAGGCTGTTTCCAGGACAGCAGAGAATTAGATCCTGTAGTGATTCATGGCCCGTCAGACAAACTGTTCTCTCTATGATTTTTTATTTTTTTTTTATTTTGTGCAAGATAAAGCCCCTGAAGATTCTCCTCTGCCTGAGTAAGAAATTTGTATAGTTTTATTGTAGATGATTAAAGTTTTCATGTGAATTTTGCTAAATTTCACTAATTGATTAAATATATTTTAGTTTAAAGGTTTCAAATTCAGTTTTTTGCCCACTTGTCAAAAAGAGAAAATTTAATGAGTCATCTGTCACCACTGGATGTCATCTCCTGTTGATGACCAAGGACCAGTAAAGAGGTAAGGCAGTTTGGATTTTTTTTTATTTTTTTTTTACTTTTGTTTTATTTATTTATATTATTTATTTTGAAGGGAATGTTATCCAATGTTAAATCATCCATATTGAATGATTTGCTGGTTTCAAATGAGGTTAAAGCCGTTTTGGAATAATCATGACAGATATTTTTGGCTAGAAAGGTTAGAAAAAATTATGTTTTTAATTCTTATTGTCTGTTTTTTGGAAAAACAGACATAAAATTAAATTCAGATTTCTATTTATTTCCCCAATTCACAACACATCTCATCTTAAGATCTTAAAATCTTATATATATAGTGCAAATATGCAGTATTTTTGGTTTGGTGTTATAAGTGTGATGCAGAGTCAGTGATATCATTTAGAGTTTTCTCAGCAGTTCAGCAGTCTAATGGGAATGGAAGAGAAACTGACCTGCTGGTCCTGCATTGAATGCTGGGAAGCCTCTTCCCAGAGGGCAGCAGGGAGAACAGTCCATGGTGGGGGGGTGAGGGGTCATTGATGATGTCACGGGCTCAGGACACGCAGCGCTGGGATGAAATGTCTTTAATGGAGGGAAGAGGAGCCCCCATGATCCTCTCTGCTGTTCTCACCTTCTTCCAGTCTGAGGCGCTGCAGCCTCCACACCACACAGTGAGACAGCTGCTCAGAACGCTCTCTATGGTGCTTCTGGAGAAGGTGGGGAGGATGGGTGGGGGCAGGTAGGCTCCACTCATCTTCCGCAAGTAGTACATGCGCTTTTGTGCTCTATTGATCATGGAATTTATAATAATATAGAAGCTCTGATTTTGGACAATAAATAAAAACAAAAATAAACCCCCTTGGTGTTAGTATTAATCAAGACGTGTCATTTACTTCCCAAAACAAAGAGTTTTTTTTAGAATGCTGTTCTTTCATCACCTGGATATTGCACATTTTAGAGATATCCAATCCAGGGGTGATTCGTTGAAACTAGTCCATGCATTTGTTACTTCAAGGCTGGACTATTGTAATTCTTTACTATCAGGAAGTCCACAAACTGTAGTTAAAAGCCTTCAGCTGATCCAAAATGCTGCAGCCAGAGTTCTGATGGAAATGAAAAAGAGAGATCATATCTCTCCTATCCAACTTCTCCTGTTTGGCTTCCTGTTAAATCCAGAATAGAATTTAAAACCCCTTTTATCACATAACCCCTAAAAAAAACAAGCCCCAATATTTTTTGGTAACTTATTTTCCTGAGAGGCCAGCTTCACTCTCAGTTTGCAGGCTCCAGGCAGAAAAGCTCTGAGCCAGTTCCCATGTCAGTGGATGAAAGAGAGAATACACAGTTTGATAGGGTTAATGATATTAACCCATTATTGTCCTAGAAAGAAATCAACACAGGACACAAGTTACTTTCTGCTGAAGAGGAGAGTGGAACCCGATGGAGAATGACTTTCCATGTCTGGGCTCAACTCTGGACTCAACTCTGTCAGGACAACTCCATCTTCTGCTTTTATTGTCAGATTTCAAAGTAGTATCAGCAGGGGTCAGAAGTTTACTCATACAAAGTGGGGGGTGTGCAGTTTTATTGCGGGTGGTGATAAGTCACCTGCAACCACACGGCCTGATAAGGCATAACACTTCCTTTTCTATGCAGGCCAAATGCCTGTAACTTAATACAAATAAAATGATGACATTTAGATTTTTCAAACACAGTCACAGTAAGAGTATGGGAGCTAATGGTATATTATCTTTATGATAAAAATCAAGACACTCAAATTATTCACTTTAAATTGCCACCAACTGTGGGAAAAAGGTTATTTATTTTCCAATTCCAATGTTGTCCAAAAACAAAATACAGAAGAGATCTCCTCTTTATCGCAAACTGCTTTTCACAAAAGAAACTGCACTCATCTTAAGTATATTTATACCATTTTCTAACATTGTTTTGTATGTGAATGCACATGCATGGCACTGAGTGCGCCAGTTCATAGCGTGTGGGCAAACTATTTGCAGTGTCTCTTCTGTTTGTGGCCATCCTTCTCTGTGTGTCTAATGGTCTAATGTGCAAATGGAAGTCTGTTTGTGTTTTTCAGCTTGTGTTATAGAGACCTTATACAGGAGAAAATTATCTGTCAGAATATGTGATGCATTTTATGAAATGGGAGGCTCAAAAGTTTCCCTATACACATACATCAGGGAATTCTAAGTGGACCTCATAAAAACCAACCTTCTTTTAGCAAAAACAGTTCTCAAATAATAGAGCTGCCACTGTTTTGTGTATGTAAGCATTTTTTCTTTTCTTAATATTTAAGCCTCTGTTTCTCTGCAAATTACCAACTAAGGAAGACATCAATATGTTTACACAGCTTCAAATAATCTCACTTCCACAAGAGTAACAGGACTACACTGAAAAACAAGCCGATCTCCAGCATCTAGAAACAAGGTTGTTGATGGCAGCAGCACAGCTGGTATTTCTCTCCAGGATGGAGTCACAGCCAAACAGCAACAGACCAGATGAAGCTACTATGAGAAAAAGCAGAGAGAGCAGAACGTTAGAAATTGAACTATTAAAAACTGCAGAATGAGAGAGTAAAGATAGAATGAAGCAAAATGATTAAAAGTGGTCCCTATGTCCTCCAACAGTCTCAGTTTATATCAGCATAAATATAGAAAAAAGCTCAGAATACCTGCGCATTTTGGAAGAAGTATAAGAAAGGTAGAACCAAGGACAAAACTATAAGTTTTATCAAAGTTAACAGGGTTTCTGCCTCACAGATAGAAACTGGTAGTTGGTAGAGGTGCCTGACAATTAAAAGATCTGATTAAAAGATAATTATAAGTGTTTTTCCTGGGTGGTGCGGTCGCGGTGGGTGTTGCGGCCGGTCGCCGGGGCTTGGTGCCGGGGGGCGGGGCGTGTTTCGGTGCTCTGTGGGGCTGGGGCGTTTCGGTCGGCGCCATGGGGGGGCTGGTGTTCGGTGCCCGGCCCTGCTTCGGGGTGGCCGGCTGCCGGCGGGGCCCGCGGACTCGTCCCCACGGCTCCCCGGGGCGCCGGCATGGCGGTGGCTAAGGGGCTTCTTCGTGGCTGTCTCTCCTCCTGCCTTGGTGGGGGTCTGATTTCCGGGGCTGGCCCCGCCTTGGTGCCTTCGCTTCTGGGGTCCCCTTGGGCGCCTGGGGCTTTGGGTCTCCCGGCGCTGGACTCAGTGCTCTGGGGGGTGTGCCTCTCCGGCTCTCCACAACCACTACTGAGCATTTTTTCTATGGTTAAAACTTTACATGCACAAGTTCACCCTCACAAACAACTACAGGTGCTAGGCTTCAGGTACTTAGAGATTCACTTCCAAACAGAAACCCCACATTCATATCTTCAGGTAACACAGAGTACATGTCAGACTTAATAATATTACTTTAGCGATAGTTTCAAGGTGTTGCTTTATTGTATATCTCGTACCATGTCTTTTGGTTGTGCTGTTCTTTTTTTTTCCATCTCATTACAGGTGTTGAAGCAGACTGAAAATGTTTTGTCATTGTCTCCTTCCTATCTCCTCTTTCTTTCATCTTTTGTCCTTTTTTTTCTTTTTCTTTTTCCTTCTTCTTCTTCTGTTTTTCTGCTCTACTTACATTGCAGTGTCCATATGAACTGTAAAACTCCCTGCATAATTATAATAAAGCAATTTATATGCATGAAACAAGTAGAGCAGTATGGCAATTGCGATACCGCTACACTTGTGAAAGTAAAATCTGTTGGGCTCCTTTTGGCATCAAGACAATTATTCTTATTGCCACCTTGCCAGACAGGATACTGTAAAAAAAAAAAAAAAAAAAAAAAAAAAAGAACGAGGCACGTGACGTCGCCCGGTACGGCGGAGCCGGGACCCCACCCTGGAGCCAGGCCTGGGGTTGGGGTTCGTCGGCGAGCGCCTGGTGGTCGGGTTCTTCCTCGCGGGACCCGGCCGGGCCCAGCCCGAAGGAGCGACGCGAGGCCATCCCCCAGTGGGCCCACCACCTGCAGGGGGAACCATGAGGGACCGGTGCAAAGAGGATTGGGCGGCAGCCAGAGGCGGAGACCTCGGCGACCTGATCCGCGGGCGCTTGGACTAGCTCTGGGGACGTGGAATGTCACCTCACTGGGGGGGAAGGAGCCCGAGCTTGTGCGGGAGGTGGAGCGATACCAGCTAGAAATAGTTGGGCTCTCCTCTACGCACAGCCAGGGCTCTGGAACCCAGCTCCTTGAGAGAGGCTGGACTCTCTTCTACTCTGGAGTTACCCGCGAGGAGAGGCGGAGGGCGGGGGTGGGGCTGCTTGTCTCCCCCCAGCTCAGCCGTCTCGTGTTGGAGTTCACCCCGGTAGACGAGAGGGTCGCCTCCCTTCGCCTTCGGGTTGGAGGGAGGACTCTGACAGTTGTTTCGGCCTATGGGCCGAACGGCAGTACGGAGTACCAGGCCTT